TATATATATATATATATATTCAGATTTGTTTAAAATGTTTATTGTACTTTATAATATGAGCAAGTGAAGTGCTAGGATATTCAAAATGGATCCATATGATGAGTATAGTTCTCTTAAACAGTTAAACAGTGCAATTATGCTGGAGATAGGCCTAGTGTGGCATCATTTCCTGCATGTCACATGCCCAATAATGCTGTTTTTTCCCCCTCAATTGAATTATAGTAGACAATGTGACCAATGTCTTGTGACACTCAGGAGGTCTTTGCTTCTGGGACAAATTATATTTCTTGTCTTAACCCTGGTTAGTCTGAGGATTGTGAGTTTGTTCTGACCTTCAGAACAAGCAGAGCTGCAAATAGGTATTAGTCATGCTATATGACTCAGGATTATTAACTGCTTTGTTTTTAAAAGGGCTACTTACTTTGTACTACATTTTAGGTGAACTCTAAAGTTGCCAATGCATGTAAAATAAAGCTGTGATCTTTTTACAGTAGCAAAAATCAGTGAGAAATAAAACTATTTAGGACAAAAAAGTAATGTATGTAGTTTGTAGTTAGATCAGCACATAAAGGTAACTGTATTTACACCTTGGCTTTACTTGAGCTTTGTAGTGCTGCACATTGGCTGTGATAAGTTAGCCAAATCATTAAAAAAACAATTCACTTCCTGTGTGGCTGATATATTTTCTCAAGAACTTTCAAGCAGAGAGCTCAATGAATTGCAGTGGCTAACTCTCCTCCTAGCTGCTACATTTGAAATTCCTCAAATATGGAAAAGCCGGTCAAGCTCTGGTTCTCCAACATAAACGACATTAGACATATGGAAGACCTCACCAGTTCCGTCCGAGGCACCTCCTCCAGATTCTCTGACTCCTGGTATTACTGGATAGAATTTACCACCTCTGCAGAATACCGCGCGATCATGGATTCCTAACACCTGGCAGTGGCAAGCTGGGATCAACACTTTCCTCATCCCTTCAGTCCCCTTACCCATGACTTTGGCAACACTAGCAATACCCCATGACTATACTCTCCCCACAGACCTCGGGAAGGCCACCGGGTCCTGAAGGGCTTGGCACAACTAAATTGCTGAGGCCGCAGGGCTCCCCTTAACGGCAAGACGATGGAGGTGGCGCTTCCCCCTGGGCGATAGTCCTGTCCTCTCCTACCTAACCCACCTTTAAGTCCACATGGACACACTCACAAGCTGGGATGTGATCCCGACCTACTCCTATACACTTGGGTTTCCGTGAGAGGGTACCCCCCCTTACATATATGTTCCAATGACACTAGTAGGGATCTTCTTGTTTACCTGTACCCTAAATGCTAAGTTCTTGCCGATGTTATGTCGATGTTCTTTTCGTGCCCGGACCTGCGAGTCCACCTGGGCACATCTTTCCGGTTATGTTTAACAAAATTCTGAAAACTTGAAATAAAGACTTTATAAAAAAAAATATGGAAAAGCAATGTCAATAGAATGTGTCCCTTAAAAAAATACTTTAATGGGTATGTACATCATATGCACTTGCTATTGGTGGGAACCCTGCCTTCCCCACCTTTTTGTAATTGTAATTACTGAATTCTTGTTACTTTAAGAGCTTCACTGTATGTACTCCCCTCCAAACAAATAGCATCTTCATGTGAACCATAGACTCCAATTACAAAATATAATCTTGGGGACAAAAGAAGAGCCTACCAAGCGTAGGTGTATTGTAAGTGCACTTGCCCTTTAGGGAAAACACTGTAATAATTACTTATGTGTTCACCGAAAATATATTCTTTCCCAATTAAAATTGCAGACTGGTGTACATTTCATGTAAATGTAACCTATTAGATGCAACTCTATGTATTTACTGTAAAAGATGCTGGGTCGGCAGCTATCCTGTATTTAAAGTATAGAAGAGTGAATTTATAGTTTAAAATCTTGTTTGAAGAAATTCTATGCCTGTGTTTTTTTTTTTTTTTGTTTGTTTTTTACACATCATCTGATACCAGTGGTTTGGGTGTGAGTCGAGGTCTATCCAGCCTATATATGCTTCAGAATAAGCAGACTTTCAGCACTGCTAGTGGAATGCTTCATGCTGTCTCTCTATTACACAAAGCATTTATTGTTCATAATCTAATATTTCACAGACACTTATCTGTGTAAAAAATCTTCATATTTGCTGTACAAGTCTCTTTTTGAAGAATTTTATTCCATCCACACTCGTGTCAGAAACCTCTAATTATTCATAGATCATTTGCATTCTGTGGCAATATAAATTAACAGAAATGTTTGGTCCAACAGCAAAGAAAAACTGCAGTCCATTTTCATTTTTCAATGTAGTGTACTTTCTCCCTCCTCCTTTAATAGTTTGCGTTTATTAAATGGTGCACTATTGTTTTTTTTTACACTTTACGTTCTTCTACATAGTTTACATAGGTAATCAGGCTGAAAAAAGACACAAGTCCACCGAGTACACAAGTCCCACTGTGTTTTGACATTCCGTTACAGATGGGTGATGGGCAGTTTGACATCTGCCTGTCCTCAGTCGGAGTTGGTAAGAACTTTATTGAAATGTCAAAAGTTACATTTACCTCAGTTCTGTTGGCCACAGCGCAGTGCAATGTGGTTGTACTGCATGCACTGCTTTTTTTTTTTTTCACCGCAGGTTGCCTTGTCTTTAAATTGGGACCACGATGCGCAAGCCTTCTTGCGCGGCCACAGTGCACTTGGTGTAAACGAGCCCTTAGACATTGAACACCTTTTGTTTTGATGCACCTGGGATATATTTTGCTGACAAACCATGAGTTAAGTTGTGCTTTTAAAGGAGAACTCCTGTCAAAACCTTTATTAACCCATGCAGTAGGGCTCCTGCAAAAGTTATACTCGCCAAAATCCCCAGAGCCAGATGCCTGCTTCTCTGGTCACTGAAGCCTGTCTCCTCCTATGCTGCCCTGTGTATACAGTAGAATGTGATGATTTACGGGGACCTTAGACCGCTGCAGCAGAGGGGGAGAGAGGCTGGAAGGAGCGGCCTAGGAGGAAGCCAGCTCCTAGTTTTTTTTTTTTTTTTTTTTTTTAGCACCTAGACAAAAAGCAGTTAACCCTTGCAGTGTGGGGATAGCCCCACTGGCAGGGGTAATAAAAGTTTTTGCCTGAAGTTCTTCTCTAAATAGCAATTTCTTATAAAACAAATTAATTGTTAGATATAGAATAAATTTTGTAATTTATCATATATTTTCTTTTGTGTTTTGCAGGTTTTCGCCATAGTGGTGTTTGGTTGCATAGTTAATGAGGGATATATTAATCTTTCAAGTGAAGAGGAGGAGCATTGCATTTTCAACCAAAACCGAAGTGCCTGCACTTATGGAGTGACTGTTGGGGTGTTGGCATTTCTCACTTGCATTGTGTATCTGGCAGTCGATGTTCACTTCCCACAAATAAGCAGTGTTAAAGACCGAAAGAAAACCGTGATATCTGATATTGCTGTGTCTGGTGAGCAGAACATACAGAAAACCCCTTTTAACCTACGCCTTTTAACATATAGCATGTTTATATGTTTAAGCCAAAATGTGTTCTTTAGTTCCGGATAAGTAGGGAAGGGATAGAACCTTTGACAAATGTTTACTTCTGCCTCTGTTGGCGAGACTCACCCTCTCTTTGTCCTGGTGTCGAATGTGATGAGAAATCCATAGTTTTACAGTTGTCACCAGATCATGATGTGAGGGGAAATCTCCCATTGGGGATACTGGTTCTAAAATGGAAATACACCTCCCACTTTGTGCTGTATCTTTGGGATAGTAAGTGAATGTAAATCTCCCCAATGGGAGATTTGGGGGACAATGGCGGACACTGACAGAAACATATTTAACTGACAGTGGTTTTAAATGTTCCCTACTCGGTCCAAAACTAAAAAACATTTACTATACATACACTGGCTGTTGAACACACATAAAGTGCATGCTTGCATGTACAACTTGGTTGTTAGTAGAGGCTCACCAATACCATTTTTCAAGACCAAGTACAAGTGCTGTTCCTCAAGTACTCGCCGATACCAATTACAGATACTTTTTTTTTAAAAAGTGACGTGACATATTTTTTCTAAAACAATACAAACTAATGATTTTAATGACAATAGTGGAGCACCATGGCCCAGTCACAGCTGCAACCGTTGCGACCCTGGTAGTTCTGCCACTGACTCCAAGCTGTAGAGAGACTACAAATCCCAGCAATACATTATACAGCAATGCAGAAAGGCACCGGCTATAGAGGACTACATATCGCAGCAAAACACAGAGCAATATAGAATAATATGAAGCTACATACTCTGTGTTGCTCACCAGGGCTGTGCGTGGGGTGTCCCTAGGGCTGTGCGCAATCTCGCCAGAGCTGCATTTGGGTCTCACCAGGGCTACATTTTGGATCTCACCAGGGCCATATGGACGGTGTAGGGCTCTGCGGGCGGGTGTAGGGCTGTGCTGGTCTCTGTGGGCAGTGGGAAGGAGGAGGAGATGTGCAGCCGGACTGGCACTGTCAAAGACAGCCGCCGTGAGGTCCCCACAGGTACTCCTGAAAATGCCCAGTATCGGCACCAATATAGATACTAGTATCAGTGCATCCCTAGTTGCTAGTAAATTTTGTCTAGTGAGGGCTATCTTGCAATTACAGGTCAGGTCAAGATTGCTACATACTACATTAAACACAAGAACAAATCTGTCATATCTCTTGAAGCGTATTGGAGGTCTGACCTTTGTTGCACATGCATGTCTGCTTACATTCGCCAAAGAAATAAATTGGGGCTATTGTATTTGTATGAACACATGTAAGAAGGGAGGCATTTAAAAGAATATAGTGCTCACTATTGGGGAGATTTCTCCTCCCATCCTGTCAGGGTGTTATAAGAAATCTCTCCGACGGGGACCCTGAGAAATCAAAAAATATTTTTTGCTAGAGTGCGGAACCGGTGAAACCACCATTTCTTTAAAGGGTGTCACAGGGACAAGAATTAGAGCTGGCCATGCACTGCTTAGAATTTCAAAAGAACTTTCATACTAAAGAACTTTCTTTCAACTTTCTATTGATGCAGCAGGTTGAAAAAATTTTCTCAAATGCATGAAATTCTAACAGTGCATGAGGTTTGTCACTCCAAAATCGAATGCTAGGATCAAATTAAATTTGCATCGACATTTGTCAAGTTTCTGATGTCATCAGGTGGTAAAAAAAAGATCTTTCGTACAAAGTTTGCTCAGAAATCTACTAGTGTATGGTCAGCTTAAGGGAAAATCTCCCAATGAATCACCAACAGGGCTAAATAAAAATCTTCCCTACTCTTATCCAAAACTACAAAAGCAGTTTTGACTGGAGTAGTTTATTCATCTGCCACAAATGAAAGTTTAGTTAACTCCAAACTGTGTTATCCTTCCTGTAGGTTGCTGGTCCTTCTTCTGGTTTGTTGGTTTCTGCTTTTTAGCCAACCAGTGGCAGGTGTCCAAACCAGATTCCAATCCATTGAATGAAGGTGCAGATGCAGCACGTGCAGCCATTGCTTTCTCCTTCTTCTCCATCTTCACCTGGGTAAGTAGCACTGATAAATAAGTCATCCTGAATTTCCTTTGCTGCTGAGTGAGTAACAGATCTTTCTTTATGTATAGTCAGCAATATTAATTAGTTAAAGTGACATTAAACCCTCAGATTTTTTTAACATAAAACAATACTGTAATGTGTGCCTTACTGTAATCCATGGTAGTTTCCCTTCTCTTTGCTGCTCTTCCTTTTAAATCCTTATCTCTTCTCATGCTTGGGGAGAACTTCACTTTGCAGCTGAGTGCCTCTTCCTGTAGTGCTGGCTCAGGTTGTGAACCTGCACACAGACACCATGTATCCATTCCAGAGAAAAGGCAGTCTGCTGCAAAACAGAAGTTCTACCCAGCATGAGAAGAGATACGGATTTAAAAGGAAGAGCAGCAAAGAGAAGGGAAACAACCATGGATTACAGTAAGGCACACATTACAGTATTGTTTTATGTAAACAAATCTGAGGGTTTAATGTCACTTTAAGGGAGCGTTTAAAGTGCCCTTTAAGAAGTCAGTTCTATATATCGCCACTTATTTAAAAAAAAAAATCTTGCATCTTTTATTAGCTCTTGAAATGTATTATTGCTGTATCAGAGCTATATTTATATGCTGTGTAAGACACTTCATAAGCGAGATTCTTGAAAACTGGAGAAAAGGCAAAGAACACTCAGTTACTGCAATTGCAACAAATAGAATTATTGCTTTAATTTTGACATAATATGAAATGTAAAACCTGGAAAATTGAGACTTTATCATAACCGTAAAGCATAACTTAACTTTACCCTTACTTTTATCACACCCTTTAATATCAAAGTGTAAAGAGTTAAAATGTCTGCTGGGTTTTTTTTTTGTCTGTGACCCCATGGGGAAGATTTACCTCCCTTCCTATCCCTGTGATGTCCATACATAAATGAAAAGTGCAGTTGACACCAGGACAGAAAGGCAAAAACCCCTATAAATTACATTACGGATACATTCAGATGTTCAAGTCTTTCATCATACTTCTATAAGTGTGTTTTTGTTTTCTTCTTGTCCTGACATGATGTGATAAGCCTCCCCAATACGGATGCAGGTGTTGATAAAAACATGACGGAGGCTGTCATCTTTCCCAGCTCTATCCACAAAAAAATGTTTTTGACTGGAGCTGGAGTTTAACCTGCCAGAAATATGAAGGCTACCATTGCTGTCTTGCTTCATTAGTTTGAGTCACTGACCCGGAATAAGTATAGCAATAAAGTGCATCTAACCCTAAAAACAACATTTTAATAAGTTGTAGTTTGCCATTCATCCTAGATGTGATGGCTGCATTCGTTTTCATTTTCAGGCTTTTCCCCCTTTTTTTTACCTGGTAATCCTGTGAAAAACACACTCCTGTCCCTGCTAAACCTCAAACATGTCTGAGGGGAATTTATCAAAACTGGAGCAGACTGAATCTGGAGCAGTTGTCCATGGCAACCAATCAGCTTCTGTCTTTCATTTTCAAAGCTTAACTGAACAAAATGAAGAGAGAAGCTGATTGGTTACTATGGGCAACTATTCCAGATTCTGTCTGCTCCAGTTTTGATCAATTCCTCCGTCTGTCTTTTTTCATCTCCAGTACATGAAGGTTTATGGGATTAGGAGAGAGAGAGGATTGTTTCCTCTGTCTGTTTTGCTTACAGGAAGTGACAAGGGCACTGAATTTTTAGCAAGTTAAATTGGTAGTTTCTGTACTTGCTGAAAATGTTCTTGGCTTAAAAATGAATACTAATGCAGACACCACAGCGAAGGACGGGTAAGCTACAATATATTCAATTTATGTCCATTGGTTTCGTTCTGCTTTAAGGAGTTCACTAATGTAAATACTTTTTCAGGTCAGTGACTCATACAGCATTCACACCACATCCAGATTACCTCCAGACCAGACTGTTTCCGGACCCAAAATGCATCCCAATGTATCCCTATGCTACTTCCCACAAGCGCAGTCTGTTCCAGACCAGAAAAATATTGCTTGTCCTATTTTGTCTGGTCTGGAACGCACTCGTATGACTATTTTTAAATTCCAATTGTGGTAAAATCACGGCAAAAATGCAATGCACTATGTTCCAGATCTGGTCCGGAAAATGGTGTGAACCTAGTCTAAAAACCTGATGGTAGGATAACAGCCTGGCCACTAGCAATTTTCAAAAATGCAGTAATGGAAAGCACTGTATTTCTCCCATGGTAGGTTTACTCTAACCCCTAACACTAAAGGACTGACGGGTATGGCGTACGTATCTGTGCGAACAACATTTACAGCACATTACAGCCTCTAGATGGAGTTGAGAAGCATAGGAAATTCCTATGCTTCTTGGCTCCGTTTAGAGGCAGTAATGTGCTGTGAACGTCGTTTGCACTGATACAGGCTGTGTGAACATGTTCTATGCCGGCCCCTATGTAAACCTCACTTAATCCTACCATGTTATTGCCTGATGCATTGGATCAATGTCATCCTGGTGACAACGGTACCCAAAACTCATGTGGCTAAAAATGGAAAGGGTGAGGTAAAAGACTGTCATGTGCACAAACCTTTATTTCATTCTCTGAACTAGTACACATTGACATTGAATTTCCTATTGAATTGAGGAGTCGGTGGTTAAAATCAGAACAATTACATTATGCCTGTCTTCAAGATGGCAGATAACATTTGCTTAAAAATGTTTTCCATTTTTACACAAGTGGAAGTAAAAGTATCACAATTGTGTTTTTGTCAACTTGAATATCCTTTTAATGTCAATGGACATCTGAACCTTGCAAGACATCTGATAGTCATATTAGTAAGGAAATTAAATCTGGTTACTAGTAATTACTGCACAATGAGCTACCAACCCTAATAATGTTGAGATTAACATAATTGGTTTTAAAGTGACACCAAACTCAGGAGTTAAATCTTAAAAATGCAAAGTACCTTAACTACCGTGTTTCCCTGAAAATAAGACCTAGCGCTATCTTCAGGGATTTCTGTAATAGAAGACCTACCCCGAAAATAAGACCTAGTTCGGTGGTAGGTCTTATATTACAGAAATCCGCTAGGTCTTTCGGGGTAGCTGCACATATAATAGAATTTTACATTACCGCATCAGCTCCCTCCCTCCCCCCCGCCTGCCCGCACGCACGCACGTACACCCACCTATCTGCCTCGGCTGCCGCTGAAGACTACATTTCCCAGCAGGCACAGCGCGGCATAGCCAGTGGGGTCGAAGTGGACGACATCAGAGCAGAGAGCGGACAGCTGCAGCCAGGTAAATATAAGACATCCCCAAAAATAAGACCTAGTGTCTTTTTTCATTGAAAAAAAAAAATAAGACTGTCTTATTTTCGGGGAAACACGGTATTAACAATACTTATTTGTGTATCACTAGGCTGTAGATCCTCAAATCATCCCTGAATTGGTGCTGACACTGTCCTTCCTTCTGGAGGGTGGCTACTTTTGTTCCCCATGGTCCCTGTGTATGTTGTACAGTAGCCACCACTCCAAGCTCATTCCTGTGATGAACTACAATCTCACTTTCCGTTTACTCATTTGTATCGAGATTGTAGTCCATCACGGGAGCGAGCTTGGAGTGGTGACTACTGTACAACACGCATAAGTACTGTGGGGAACAAAAGTAGCCACCCTTCAGAAGGACGGACAGTGTCTGCATGAATTCAGAGATGATTTCAGGATCTACAGCATAAATTTAGGTCCAGTATTTTTAATAGTTAAATGGTTTCTAAACCCTCATGCTTTTTTTGCATATATCTACTGCTAGCAAGCAGTAGATATGTGCAAAAAGTTAAAAAAAAATACTTTAACAGAGGTTAATACTTAGCTGTGTCTTACCGCGCGCTCATGTCCGAAAATGTGAAAATTCTCGAGCGGCCACAAAGCATCTTGGGGTGGGCGCATGCGCAGTTCGGATTTTCGGGCTGGAAACTAGGAGGGACACAAGGTAAGTATATGGACGCGTGCACCCGCATGCAGACACCATGGGACAGGAAGTACCAGCAAGGACAGAGGAGTCAGCGCTGGATCGGAGACCCGCAGCAGCGCTTGAGAGAAGGCTGAAAACTACAGGAAAGAAGGTAAGTGCTGACATTAACATTGGGGGGAGGGAAAAAAGCAGTAACTCCGAAGCCACACTCGGGATTACACTGTAGCGTCTTACCTTGCCACGATCCTCAATGTGTCCTCCGTCAGATGCTGGCTTCCGGATTCCATCCCTTGCGAGCGTCCGCGTCACAGGGGGGAGAAACCGGCTGGAGATTTGAAAGTAAAAAAAAAAAAAGGAAATCAGACCGCCAGGAAGGTTAAGGTACTTGAATTAATTTTAAGATTTAACTCCTGAGTTAATGTCTCTTTAAGTTACCCATAGATAACAACAGTCTCGTGTCTATGAGGACCATGCGGCTGTTCTGTGGTGGATCATTGATTGGAAAGGTTAGAGATCTTATCCTGATGATTACTATTCCCTGAGATGATCAGCGCTGACATTGTCTGCCATTGTAACACCTCTCACCCAGCATTGACTTAAACCACAAATGCTAAGCCAATCTAGGTGTTTGTGCTTAGGAGCTCACTGTATAACAGTAGTACCTAAGGGTGGCTGGACCATGCATGCACATCATTAAAGGTCTACAAAATTCTTTAGTCTGCTCAAGATGTAGTCAAGACTGCAGCCATTACTTTAAAAAAAAAAAAAAAATTGTCGAAAGGAGAGCCCAGATACATGGCTGTCAGCCATGTGTTTGAGCTCTCCTATCGCAGAACATTCTATGCATACCATAACCAAGCTTAAAGAGAACCAAAATGTCAGGAATTAAATATGCAAGATACCATTGATTTGTTAATGAAGTTGTTGTCATTCTTATATTTTCTCATATGTATATTTGTTACATTAAGGTTATTAAGGTTGAAAAGCCAGATATCCATCATGTGCAACCTCTGACAACTGGCAAGCTTGGTCCAGAGGAAGGCAAAATAAAACACTGAGTAGTTCAGAA